AATTTCCTTTTAAACACTCACATTTTCCATCAATCATCTGTATAGAATTTATTTTGCAGTTGAATTTAAGATTTTCTATTCCTTTTGGGGCCTTCCCATGGAACACATCATCCTGAGCCAAGAATCAATGCCCTCCCAGGGGTTCCGCTAACGCTTTGAAACAAATCACGATGAGTTGTGTAAGAGCAGCTGAGAGTCAATACGCCCACTGATCTTTCTTCCCTCCTGTAGCAAAACATTTGGCCTCTGCTCAGAATCTCCTCGTGCAAGTATGGCAGAGATCATAAACTCAACATGTGCAAGATTGCTGGTATGAATCTGAATTTTGCCACTACTTGGCATACTTCAACTTTAAGCATAAGCCTTTAGCATAGTTCACTGTCCTGCATGCAGATTATTGCCTTAACTTCCTACTATAAATGTTATGATTACAAAGCAGTTTTAAAGAAACGCACAGAACCAGGCAAACATGTTTATGATTAGAACCCAATCTTAACACGTTTAAACTAATGAAGGTCTCTGGTGTTGGAGGAGTGGCAGGAGACTGGATCTAATTCTACAATTGCCGAGTGCAAGAGTTTAGGACAAAGGCTTATTTTAATTAGCTTTCTCATGGCTTCAATGACAGCCGAGCAAGTGTAGAGACCAGGGACTATTAATTTCCTTCATAAAGAAAAGGTGGAATGTAAAACCGCAGACACTTAATATACATCAAGGTTGCTGACTTAACATACCTGAATATAAACCACACCACTGGAGCTCAAAGCTATCACAATTTTCATTATTTTCCTAGACACTACTTCAAAACAAAATGCTTGAAAATCCCACAATCTCCCCTTCCAAAGGAAAAAACGCTTTACCCACATAATTTGTTGCTTCAGAATGGTGTTTAACTTCTCCAGTTAAAAATCACAACCTCATGACAGTATTCCATTCCTTTAAATACACTTTCACTATGTGAAAAACTGCACTTAGGTTTCAAATGAAATTAAGATGACATTATTCACAAGCTTTCCACCCCCTACCCCCAAAGTTATGTGTCACAGACATGATTAAGGCTGACTCACCAGCACTATAACAACACCTGCAAAAGGAGACTGACACAGTACTCTCCAGACTGCCAGAGAACATAGTCAAGTTCTATCCAACAATTATTATTTGCAGTTAATTCTGCAGAGGAAGCTCTTAAAATAAAACCACTGATTTTCTGGCAGTCTAATGGTTTCAGGACATCTAAAGATTTTCAAGAAACAAAGGATTATTTTCTGACTGTTTTGACGCCAATGATGGACAAGGCGCCTCAGTGCACTTTTGAATGACACAGAGTATCATAGGAGGGTCACAATACTCTACTTTGATAAAGATATTTTAATGCTGACTTACACGAATAGCTTCCATAATTGCTATTGAAATGTTATCCGTCTACCAAAGCAGAACAGTCATTCCCAGAAAAGAACTGCTCTTAAAGTTTCAGCTAAACTTTGAAAACCTCAGATTATACACAAAGGGAAACATACTGTTGAGCTATAAAAACAGAAACTAAAAACACAACCATCAATTTCCTTTATATCTCTTGAAAATGTATGTGTTAAATAATATGAACATAAATAACTCAAATTATTGAAGAAATCAACAGTTTAAATTGTAGCAATTACTTTTGCTTTAAAGATATAATATTTTATGTGTTGTAAGGTAAAGCACAATCGATCCATACTTAAAGGACTGTCTCCACTCTATTTTTCTGGTTGTCATAGAATAAACAACTGCTTAAAAAAAGCCCAGTTGGACTACACTTGCCATTTAAAATGTATACAACATTCTCTTTACATCTTTTACATGAAGGGCAGCAAATTAATCTGGTGAAATGAAGATAGCCGCTCTACATATTTACAAAGTATACACACGGAGTTTTATTGAAGGTTCAGGATGAAAAGCCTGTTTTTTCAACAATCTTGTTTTTCCAGAATTTTCCACATTATAACTGTTTCTGTACAAGTACATCTGTAATAGACTAATAACCCTTGTGACAGAATAAAAACGAGCTGAACTGAAGTACATACAGATGCAAACTAACTCACAATTAATATTTTAAATAGGTATAGCAGCTAGCTTTAACCTTTATTTCTTTTGAATTTCAACTAGAGGTATCAAAGAATCTCCTTTCAAAGAAAAGCTCAAAACCTAGCAAATGAGTATTTGCATACATTGTAAACTCAAACCTGGATTTGCACAGACAGTTACATTTGGGACAGCCAAGTTGGTAACATTCTTGTTTCCAAATCAAAAGGTTGTGGGTTCAAGTCACATTGGAGATGATAAAATTGTTTACTCACTTTGTGGCTGTTTGTGGGACACTGTTGTATGCAAATAGGCTACTATATTGCCTACAAATACTTAGTTTACAATAATTCATGTGAAGTGCTTTGAGACATCACAACAACACAACAAGGACTACATCAAATGCAAGAATTATTATAATTTCATATTATGAAACTAATATTTAAAATTGGAATTTCAGGTCAAAGGGTTTTATTTCAGGAATAATGGCAGATTTATAATCAAGTTTGAAATGGACCTGAACAGCTGTATTTATTATAATGCGGTAGTTAAACCACCAAAATAATTCCATCCCCAGCCCTAAAATCTAATCTCGATGTCTGTTCAACGCTGATCCTACTTGTTTTGTTTAAAATCTCAATGTTTTACAACAAAATAAGATGCAAGTGGAAAGGAGGGGGAAGCTCAATAGTTTTTTTTTTAAAAAAGCATCATCTCCATTCACATCAAATTCTTAACTTCTACCATTGCCCTTGTTTCTTTATTCTAATACTTAATACTGTACTGTGAAAAAGGGAACCTTCACCACCCTCATCCTTTTTTTTGCACTACATTTTATGTTATCTACAGAAACGGGTCACAAGTTTAAAATTTTGATTAAAGTTTAGAATTCTACCCTCAAACTTGTTTAGTTTAATATTGAGAAGTACTCAATTTTGCTTAGAGGCACTGTGTTTCCACTTGTACAATAAGTTTGGAAGGTCATGGTGAACCACATATCTAACAGAAGCAAGTTCACTCATATACACTTATTATTCTATTCTTCTCCACCACCTCCCCTCTCAGTTCCAACTTCATGGTTCTGTGAGAGCTAACTATCTCCAATTGAAAGTCAACAAGAACAAGGGCCGCCTGCGTGGCTTCTATCAGCCCTCCTTTTCACTATTCATGGATGCACTCTCCACCACAGTGAGTCAGTATGGAACCTTGATGTCTTGTTCGACCCTCAACTTTAAACTCCACATCAATGCCTTAACATGTTCAACCTTTCCTCACCTCTATAACATGAGCTGCATCCATGCTTTCATCATACCCAGACTAACTCCCTGCTTGCCTAACTTTCCAACTCTTCCTGGAGATTATTCAGAACCCTTGCAGCCTCTGTCCTCTCCTGCACCAAGCCCAATGAGCCAATCACTCACATCTTCGCTGGCTTCACTAATTCCCAGTGGATTGAGTTTACGATTCTCGTCCTTACTTGTAAAGCCTTCCACTGTCTTGACGCTCCCTACCTCTATGACCTGCTAAAACCTTACTAACGATCCCGCTTCCTCTGCTCGACGGGCAGTGACCTGCTCCATGTCCCCCCTCCCTGTCCATCCCACTATCAGAGATCAGGCTGTCAGCCTTTCTGCCCACACTCTCTGGAACTCCACACCCTTCCTTGCCTCCTTCAACATCCATATCAAGACCTTCCTTTTCGACCGTGTCTCTGGTCATCTTTTCTCCTCCAGCCCTCTCTGATCCCGCAGCTCGGGTTCAAACCCCTCATTGTCCAGTGCCTTGGGACATTCTCCCAACATGAGAATAAAAGTGCAATTTGTTGTTGATCTGCAGGTGAGCCAAACTTTCAAAGCTCAAATTGGCCTGAACACTGAGACCTGAAGTTTCATCTCGTCTCAGTTTACAAAACCATTTTATTTTAGTATGCAAGATCAATGGAAAATTCTCAAGTTCAGTCTTAATTTGTAACTGGTTTTCTGCAGGTTTTTCCAAATTAAGACTGGATTTAAAAAATGTTTCCAATTTTGTGCAAAGCTGAATTTTAAGGCAAAATGGTCTTATACACTAAGACAAGGTGAAATGTTGGGTCTCTGAGGAGATTACTTTTTTTCTAAGATCCACTGGGTCTTTGTCTCATAGTGCATTGTTTTCAAGATCCTTCTTTCAATTTTTAAATTTGTATCCAGCATACTCATGTAACCTTTTCCAGGTCTATTTTGCTGATTGGGCTGTACCCTCCAGCTATTTAAGGATATTTTAAGTCAACCAGTCTTCCATTCTTAACGTGACTTTCATGATTCCTTTCTATCACAATGGGTTTTAGAATTTGAGTTCATGACTGGGCATAAATAAGCATTTCCATTAGATGTGAAAATCTCTATATTGCTTCTACTTCCCCACATTACGATAACATACCCGATGACTTAAAAATGTACCAGTTTTACTTTACTACTCATCGCTTGCTAGGGTACCTCAGGCCATAGGGCACAACATAGCTCAAGGGAAATTCAATGGCCCTTCAAAATTTAATTTAAAATTAAATAAATTAGAAATTGTATGTTAGGCCTTGAATGCAGTCTTAATAGGCATTACTATATGATTTGCAGCAACTACAACAACAAGTTTGCATTTATAGAGTGCCTTTCACATCGGGAGGACCTCCCAAGGCGCTGGACAGTTGGGTCGGGACCCGAGCAGGGGGAAAATGGTCAGGGTGAGGGGAGGGAAGGAGCGAGGAGGGGGTAGAGAGTCGAGAGGGGAGGTGAAGGCACAGTTGAAGAGTTATCACTATAGTATTGTTGTGCAGTGTGTTCTCCCTTTATACAAGACCAAGCAAGTGAATCAAAACAGTTTGTGCTCAGGTGTCAACCAGCTCTTGTTTTAAACCCAAACACTCTTGGGTATTTTAATAACAGTAAACAAAATAAAAGGGTTCTTACCAGTGTGAGTTCTCAAGTGTGCTTTTAAGTGGGAACTCTTAGTGTAAACCTTAGAGCAACCTGGAAAACAAAGAACAACCATTTGAGTGTATATTTGACGAGACGCCAAACTACTAAAGTGTGCAATTTAATAATTCACTGGAAGATCACATCAATCACCTTTGCAGGACATGCATTTTAAACGCCACATGTCTCCACAACGCATTCATTTGGTTTACTCGAACATCTGAAGCAAGCTGCTGCTTTTAGATGTACACCTGCACATCTTCAACTACTGCAACTGTAGAATCCTACTCTTCACATGCACTCTATTAAGTACAAAATACAAGTACTATATACAAGTACTTTATTCAATAGGTACAATAAATGGTCATGCACAAGCCAAAACACTTCTTTTCATAAAGCCTATTGTGTGGGAGATGTAAAAGAAAACCCTTCAATATATCATAGTGAAACAACAATGATTTTAAAAGTTACTCATATACACAAGAAGGGGGTGGTGGGGGTGTCTTTCCATCACTGCAACTACAGATGTAAACAAAGTAGACAATATTAACTATCATATTATAAACAAGCTGCCTGTCTGCCTAAGAGACAGGTATTAAAGAGCCCCAAGCCTGCAAAAACGTTTTATTTCAACCATTAACTCAGAAGGAAATTCATATTAAAATTTTAAACACAAGTTCAAAAATAAAGTCTATGTCAAGAGGAACTAACCTTTAGCAGCAAAATAATTTCTTGTATTACTCACTGAACTTTCCATTTCATTATTACGCATTTTTCCCCCCCCCCCAGTGGTTAGCTGTTCCTCTAATCCCAATGCCTGCTCCTTTATGCATGATCCCCAACCCCCACGTACCACATTTTCTACTTAGCATAACAACCGTGGCATCCAAGTAGAGTATTAAGCCTGCTCTTAACTACACAGCATTAAAATCATTCAATTTACTTCAGTAAAAAGTCATACATGAAAAAAAAGTAAACAGCATAATTTATGTATATTTAACGCAAAACATGTTCTGATCATCCCTGGCACTTAAATAAATGATCAACAAGATAATAACCAGAGGAATGTAACAACAGTCACAGCACTTTCTCATGAATCATTAGACATAACTCAAGACAGATTGATTAAACTTTAGTTTTTCTTCATAGCCAAATATCTCATAGAAACCAACTATTTGGGGTATTGAATATCAGCCACAAAACTAATGTCAAAGCTAGTGGTGTTTAAAACATTTATTTTGGCAAATGCATCAATTCAGTATGGGATGGGGCAGCATAGAAGGCAATATCTCAATGGTTGGTAAATTGCCAATGGGAAAATCCCACTGAGTGCATCCAAGCTAGGTCAATAATTGTACCAACCAGTAGAAGTGCGCAAACTTGTCTAGTATGGGGCTTCTGAATTTAAAAGAAGAAAAATAGCAACATAATTTTCATGTCATGTGTCTACTATATTGCAGAGTAATTCCAATTAGAATACAGAATCTTATTCCAAAGTAGTGGTAACATTTCTCTTCCTGCAGTATTGAATTAACTGTGAACTGGTCTTCCAGTTGATTGGGGCGGGGGGGGGCGGGGGGGGGGAGAAGAGAGAATTGAGGGAACCAGAGAGACAGAGATTAAGCGAGGGAGTGAAAGTCTCAAGGCACATGGCTGCATAACACAAAGCATTTTTTGTTAAGTGTAGTAACCACAAGTATTCAATAATATGAGCTACCTGGAATATGTTTCAAACCATAAAGCTAAAAATTTGAGACCATCAAATGTTCCCTGTAAGGCAGGCAACAGATGTTACCCTTATGGAGAAAAATAGCAATCTTACAAGAAAAAGGTTCACCATAAAATGCAAGCATTTCAACAGTGGAATGTGCTCTGAGATAGTTATTGAAATTTAACAGATGTTTGCATTTTCCTATGAAGTCTACTACAGACATTGATTGTCCATGCATTCACAACATAATGTAAAATATATAACTTAACAAATGGCCAGTCAACACAAAACTATTCCATAATCTGGTGGTGAGGGAAACGTATTTCACATTAAAAATAATTTCTGTTGAAGCTTCCCAGTTGGTTCTGTGGGCAAAGCCTTAGGAATGCAGCATTAGATCACACAGATTAAAGAGACACAAGTTTTAATGTCTGTGCTGCTATAGCTGATCTCCCTCAATGTTAAAGAGGAAGGAGTGATGGACAGTCTGTGACCCGCAAGTCCATCAAACAGCTCCCCCATCCCACCCCCAGCCCCTGAACCCATTGCATGGTCAGTAGTGTGTTGTCAATTGTTTCTTGAATGAATATGTCAAGATTTATTTCTCACTTGGGGAAATGGCTTGCCAATACTAGTGGAGACAGTGCAATGATGACTTTCAATTTCAACACAATACAAATTACATTTAATATTTTTCACATTGTGAGAATATCTCATGGTGCTTCATATTGTTGGCTGGGGATCTGAACTGGCGGGTGCGAGCCAAAGAAGGCAAGGATGGGAAGGGGGACCGAAAGCATGATCAAAGAAGTCAGGTCCTGAGATGGGCCTTGTACATGAGGAGAGAGAAAGAATTGGAGGGACTCCAGGATGGTATTCCAGAGACTGGGGGCACAATGACACTGTAAGGCAAGAATAGAGAAATGGAGCGGCAGAGGAGAGAAGGAATCTTCCCTTTCAAACATTTAAAAACAGTACAGGAAGCAACTTCACCGACACAAACATTTCAGTTTGCATTGAGCCTGTAATTGTCAGAATTTATCAGAGGATAATTTGGTTTATCATTCAGAATTCAAAGAGTGGCATTTCATGACTTAATTCACCAATAGTAATTCCAGAGTCACTAACAGGAAACCAGTAGTTAATTATTGCTAATGCTAAAAAGCAGCAACGAAAGCACCAGAAGTAGATTGGGAGGTTGACGTACTACTAGTTAAATGGGAATCGGGAAAGCAAACGCAGAATAATATTTTCAGATGCATTGAGACAACAGAAGAGGATACAGGTTCAGGGTTGCAAAGGGCAATTTTAGGACAGACACCAGGAAGAATTACTTTACCCAAAGAGTAATTAACAATGGAACAGGTTACCAGGAAGTACAGTTGGTACCAAGATTTTGAGACACTTNAAAAAAATCAATTCAATGATGGGAGGAATCACTGATGGGTATTCTGGAGGATTAGACCAAATTGAAGCTACCTTGTGATCATTGAATGGTCACCACTGAAGTTGTTCTACTACCAACAATTAAGCATGTTCCTTCAAGAATTGCTTATTTTTGGCTAATAATGATATAGTTCAATGGAACAAGACGGCACTGTAATTGTAACTATTCAATAGAAGGAATTGAACAGATAACTCAGAGTAAAAAATAATTTGAATTGTGGCATCAAATGTCTGTAACCAGATGCTGTTCTCCAAATATAGAGCAAGCCCATTATAAAGGAGTTATGGTTTAGTGCGGGTTCACTTATAGCGTGTGTACAGTTCTATACCAGAAACACCTGTTTTCTGGTGTTGACTGACTGGTGTTAACACCAGAAAAAATGGCCATCTTCTGGATCTTCAGATCACCAACATTACTTCCGACATGTTTGTGCACATGTGTTATCACAAAGGAAATTATGTCAGTGGCACTTCCTGTGCATAACGTGTCTGTTGCAGGTAATGATATCAGTGAAGGCCATTATAACACAATGTGTATTATGGATCCAGGACACCACTTGATAAAGGAAACTGTGCATGAGCAAAAATTGTTTCAATTATAATTATCATTATTAATAATAATCCTTGCATTTGGACTGCTACTATGGGATATTTAACATCTATCTGCACAGGAAAATGGGGCCCCGGTTGTAGCCGTATTCAGATTGTTCAGCTTTTGAAGGCAGTCAGTGTCTACAAACCTTTTCTTTGGCCTACGCAAGCTCAATAATTAAATACTGATGTTAGCCTCTGTGATAGTCACATCAGATCCATGTCATTCAATTCAAAATAGCAGAGCCACAAAGACAAGCCAACATTTTGCTATACACTTTGACAACGTGGTGGTCGTAAAAAAAAAAGAAAAAAAAATTGTCCAGCATCACTTGAAACAGTATCTTGGGATAAGTTGGGACAGTTTTCCAGCGGATTCAAACCAACATGCAAACATAATGCAACAAATCAGTACCAAGTCAACACATGCAATCATTACAATAGGCTTCAACTGTACCTGAATTAGGTGATCCAAAATCCTAAAGATTTATAATCTACAAAATTTAACAAGTATAATGTCTGTGCTTCCTTTGAACTAGATGCTAATCTTTTACATATATGTGTGTATTTTAATATAAATCTTGCATTTATATAGCACCCCTCACGCAGGGTAGCGTCCCAGAGCGCTTGTCGTTTTCCCTGCTTAAATAAAAAGATTGGTTAGTTTCTTGCTCTATTCTCTTGTACAATTATAAATTGATCTGGCCTACCTTGGAAATCACAGTGGTGAATCCGTCTCTTCTCCAGCTCTGGGTTATTTCTCCGGTTGTACTTCACTGCATGGGTGCTTTGCTGTGTTACTTGTAAGGTTGTAGGAAGGGTGTGAGGTAGAGTAGGGGACCCCAATTTGCAAGCAATGGAAGCAGCATATGATGGAGGTGGTGACAGATTGTGCATCAGCTCCGTTTGTCTGTCTGGGCTTCCAGGCTCAGAGTTTGGTGGTGAAGGTGGGAGGTATGCGGGCTGCTGTGGGAAGAACTGCGCCGGTACTGCAAATGACCCATGCGAAATAGACTGGAAATGTTTAATTGCAGTTTGCGGACATAATGCAGTGAGTGTATTCATGCCGGTCATTCCTGTAGATATCCCCATGGCAGCTGTATTACCTTGTGTGTGGATCGCATTAGAAGGGACCCTTACCAAATCCGGGGAGCTCAGTAACTGGTACAACTGACCTTGGTGGGGAGAAGGAGGCAGATGCATTTCAGGAGAAGGGAGCTCCTGTTTAATAAAAACATCGTTGACATCCACAGATGGTGACGTGTTGAAAACACTAGTGAACTCCGGCAAGGCCTGGGCAGTTGTGGTTCCACTTGGCTGGGTAAAAGCTGGTTCTGCATCGCCATTAAGCATGGACGGTCTTTGCGGCTTATAAAGGCCAGTTCGTAGGTGAGTGATGTCAGGCAGCATTATGTTAATGTTTAAACTGTAAGGTGATGTCTTCTCTTCCTGAAAAAATTCATCCACCACTGAAGCACTATCTCTTCTGTATTTCTTTTGCTGCGGAACAGGTAGTAGCTGGGGCGACAGATACTTTTCCATCTCGCATCTAGTCTGTTTGGAAAGATACAAGATGCAATGAATATAAAAATATAAAAAGGCAACACCTTCCCTTAAAACACAAGCACATTAAAAGTGGAGCTCAGAAAGTTTCAAAAGCAATGCTAACACAAAGTTATTACAAACAAAATAGAACAATCACTTCCTACAAGGTATCTTAGAGAGCTACCAAAACATTTATTTTAATACTAAATAAGGGAGAATTCATCTGTTTTAAACAAATTACATTAAAGGAAATAATGCTTCTTACAGATGCCAAAGCACAACTCATATTGCTCGGTTACAAAAACGGCTGGCCCAGAAGAGACTTTATAATTCTCAATAAAATCCCATCATTAAATTCTCAAACTTGGCAAGACAGCTACTTATAAAAATTGCAAAATCTTGAACATTGAATGGTGAAAATGGAAGGCTTTACAGTTTTGGCCTAAAGCTTTGCCAATACACACACAACTACCTTTCAAAGCTGCAATAGTTTTCTTATAGCATCTTGTGTTAATTTCTGACTATTAAAAACTCATGTCAATAACAGAGTGCTAGAGGCAATTTATAGATATGAAATAAGTGATGTGGAATAAGCCATATATAAATGACTGAATGAAAACTTATGGTGGATTAAAAAAAACTCACTGCATGTGGGAAGCTAATTTAATATAAATTAATCCTCCCACTCTCCAAACACAAGCTACCTGGACAGCTCCAACAAGGAAAACTGGTCGGGTCTACGAGAACTGAAGTGAGTATCATCTCAATTAAATGTGATCTCACTTGTAAAGTATAGCAGAGTATACAGGAAAGAGCTGTTTATATTTCTGCATTGTACTCAATGTAACAAGAATTATCTGTATCAACCTTGATCAAAATGTGTCCACAAAGATGTCCTATAATTTAAACTGTGCCAATTTGACACTAAAATAATTTAACATCGATCCTGTTTCTGTAGAAAAAGTTTCAAGATATTTTATCACTCTCTCAAAAGATATGAGTTAAGACAGTAATGGCATCACATCACTCACTGCAACTCGTCAATTTTTACCTTAGTTTTCAATCAAAAAGATTAAACTATGAAAATCACATTGTCAAAAGTTTACTATAGGGCAGACATGCCAACTATTTCAATGCAAATATACCGGGGAGCTAATGTGTTATCATCTGAGCTGGGTTTTCACTGCAAACAGTTTAGAATTCAAATGAACCACAACAAATGCTCCAACATACACACAAATATAAAATATGAATAACATATTTATCAATACACACAACTCATCTGTCGAATTTTTTTTAAAAAAAACTGATTTCCAAGTTCAACTGATAGCATGATTATCTCTGGGTTAGAAGGTTGTGGGGTCAAGCCCTGGGACTCGAGCTTGATCTATGCTGGGGAAGTGCAAAATTATGGCAGGTGCCATTCTGCAGATGAGTTATTAAATAAAGGTCTGATCTATTTGTTCTTAGATGAACATTAAAGATCCCATAACCATACTGAACAAAAGGAGTTTTGTCTGGTGTCCTGGACAAAAATGCTCCAGATAACTTCACCAGGTAACTGGCTGTTTGTGGGAGCTTCTTAAATAGCGAGCACATTTGTCTGCTAACAATAGTCAATACACTTGATCTTTACTGCAAAATGCATCAAGTATTCTGATGTATAAGGCACGATAAATAAAAGCAAGTTCTTTCAAAGACGACAAATAACATAACATAGTACTTGCATTTTATAGCAACTTATCACAAGATTCTACTGTACAGTGAAGTGACTGTATTTCTGGTTGATTACAGCATCTAATTTGTACAGCAATGTCCCACAAACCACCATAAAGTGAATGACAATTTTATCTGAATGATTCTTGGTCAGGATGCTATGATGGTCCCCCTTTTCGAATAGTGCAATAGGACCTTTGAGGTTCACCTCACCAGGCAGACAAGACCCTGATTTAATATCTCATCTGAAGCACAGCTGCTCTGACAATACAGCATTCCTCTAGAACTGCACTGGAGCAGCAGCCTAGATTATGAGCTCAAAGTCCCAAAGTGGGGCTTGAGCCCACAAGATGTCAATCTATAGAACAAATTTAACCAGAACTAAACTTATATCTAAATCATAGTCCATTATAGACCTATAGAACTTTTTTTTAAATAAGCAGAACAGTTTTATAAAAATGGTGCAATAATGTAAACTGCATGCTTAGTTTAGTTTGTTGCAAGAAAATAAACAAACTAGTCTGCATTCTGATAACAAAAACCTCAATTGGGAGACAAATTTTCTCTATATAGGTGCAGATATTCGAAGAGCTGAACTAACCGCTTTGTAATGGCTTGTAAAAGTTAATGTTTAATGAAGTCGATACAGTTCCAGGAATGAAAACAATAAAGGAATAATTTTTAAATGATGAGTGTGCTTATGGTTCAGAAGCTCATGGGTCACAAGAGAACACATTAACTGTTTGGCTGTAGAAGTTTTCTTCAATTTAAAAAAATATTTTAATGTTTACTTAGATTAGTACAATTTGAAAGAATTCTGTTACAGAATTTTTTTAAAAAGTTAGATTATGGTTAGCAAACATTTATATTTAATTTTCTAGGATACAAACTTTTTTAAAAAAACATTAGAAATGCTCTTAATTGTTTTCCAGTATTAGTAGCTGAAGCAAATTTGATAGAATATACAAGGATAAACTGGCATATGCAATTACCTTTAAATAGAGTAATCATCAGAACACAACAGTAATACATAAGATATTTTTATAGATGACAGGTGCATAATTAGAAAATTCTAGCCAAAATGAGGTTAAGATAACAGTTTCTTACCCTCTAAAAAGACTTATTTGTGATTGTGGTATGGTGCAATGGGACACGAAGGGTAACAGGCGACCAAGAAAGAAAGTTACAGGACAAAAAAAGTTACTTTGATCACTGGTGAGCAATGTATCCAAAAGACAACCCAAAGTTATAAGCAAAAAGTAAACTTGTACATTAAAGCCAGCTATAAATTTCTGAAAAATGAAAAGTACTCTTTCCTAAACAATTGGTGCTAAAAATATCCGATTAAATAAAAATACTGAACACCCAACCAAGCTTTATAATTACATGAAAGTTAAAATGGTGCATGTCACCTTACAGAACCATAATTCGGAAAGCATGGTGCAGCCGATTAATTTGCTTTCAGAAAAAAAAAATGGAATAAAATGTATAAGGATTGGGCATTTGTTATTGCAAGTACAAGGTCAAAAATAGCTTAACGGTGTAAAATGTAGTGACTGTATTGTAGACAAACATTGATGCATATAGCTCTAGTGCTGAACAAGATAAAAAGTCAGTTTACTATTCATTCTGCGGACTGCAGCGCAACAGTCAAACACACCCATTAAATTGCTAGTATTAAAATGGACTGACATATATACATAGATTGTCTCCCTCCACTTTAGAAACTTGTTTCCTATTCAAATACGTTTGACAGTCAGCTCCAATAAAAGTACAGGTGGATTACAGAGGAAGAAAACAGAATGTTTGATAGACAAACCCACAACTCCACCATGTACATGTACCAATCTGTGGAAGGTGTTAACTGAATCTGCTAATTGCTTTTTAGTCAATAACCAACTCAAGTGTCTACATAATACACTATATAATAATCATAAAAATAATCCCTGCATTTGGTATAACCCCTTTCACATCAAGAGGATATTGTAAAACTCTTCATAGAATATATTGTAGAGTGACTGTACTTTGTGGAGAAACACAGGAGCGTAGACAGACCGTGTTTGCTCAGGAAGAGAGTGGCGAGGTCAGTAATAATAATAATAATAATAATAATCCTTGCATTTGATATAGCGCTTTTCACGTCGGGAGGACGTCCCAAAGCGCTTCACAGAACACACTGTAAAGTGAATTGACTGTATATTTGTGGGCGAACGCAGAGGCAATTTATTCATACAGTTAAAAAATCTCAGTTATAATAATAATCCTAATATCTGGTATAGCACCTTTCACGTTGGGAGGATATTGCAAAGTGCTTCCCAGGATTTACTATAAAATGTAGTGACTGTATATTGTAGGCAAATATGGTTGCTGATTTGCACACACCAATATCCCAGAAACAGCCATGAAGTGAATGATCAATTTTATCTGGGGGATTGTTGGCCAGAATAATCTTTTTGAATAGTACCATGGGATCTTTAACATCCACCGGCACAGAAGACAGTTTATTGCCTCATGAGAAGGACGACTCCTCCAACAATGCAGCACACCCCCAGTGCTGCTTTGGAGTGTCTGTCTGGACTATACAAGTTCCAAAGCCTAACGTGGGATTCAACCCACAACCTTCTGACTCAGAAGCAAGAGTGCAAAGCCACTGAGCCAGGAGAACACTAATATGAACACAGGCAAACTGTCAATAATATGTGACCGATACACTGCCTTTTTCACACCACAACTTCAACAAAAATGTTGTTGATTCTCTGTACTGTATTTAAAAAGTACAGAACTTGCATTACACTATATGTCAGGGTAGTATCCATTACACGTGGACACTACCCTGACATAATTTAGTATTAATAACAATCCTTATATTTCATACAGCACCTTTCATATCAGGAGGACAGTCCAAAGCATTTAACAGGATATACTGTAAAGTGCAGTAACTGTATGTTTTGGGAGCAAACACAGCAGCTAATTTGCCTACAGTGATGTCCCACAAACAGCCATGAAATGAATGACATTTGGTTTGGGAGATTGTTCACCAAGACACCAGGAGAAACTCCTTTCTCTTTTCAAATAGTGCCATGGATCTTTAACATCTACCTGAATACACAGACAGAGCCTCAGTTTAACTTCTCATCTGAAGAATAACATCTCCAACCCTGCAGCACTCCCCCACCAATGCATTAGTGTCAGTTCCTTGACCTGATATGGGGCTTGAACTCACAAACTTATGACTCATAGGCAAGAGTGCTACCTACTAAGCCAATCTGACACGTAATCATTCCTACATCCAGGATGAAGTGAAAAGTCTGCCAGACATGCTATTATTCAATAGGAGATATTCCAGATAGCTGTAAATCTCATCTGGAGGCAACTGCTATAATATGTTGAAATCCGTATCAGGATTTCAGGGATGATCCCTAACTCTAATTATGTTGATCTGGGATTGCCATCCTTCTCACTCCAGAAATGAAACTTAATTCGGTCCTGTATTGAACTGAAATATTTAAAACTGCACCATAACCCCATCTTATAGTTCTCATCTAGAATTGGGTAGGATCAGATCCTCACCCAGGACAAGTTAAGTTAACCGATGACAGCCTCATCATGCTGCATCTCTGGCAGAACATCACATGCTCAGAATGCCTGCCAATGGGCAAGACATTTCTAAACTGGAAATACTTTTTAATTTGTTAGAAATATCCTAAAATTTTACAGAGGCAATCAACTGAAAAATCAACACTTAAACACTCATGCCAATGACCATTCTTGATTCACAGGTTCCTTGTAAACTCTGGAATGAAACAAATTCATAATATGCAGCCATGCTTTCCCAGTTACAAATTTGGTAATGAACACTTGCACACCATTTTGAATTTATAACTTCTTCTGTGAATCCTCTCTACTTTGTAATCCAAGGAGTAAAATTGAAAATAAAACTAAAAAAAATCCTGCAGCTTTTACCTCTGCAACAACTTGCATTTATATACCACCCATCACACAGGGTAAAGTCCCGGAGTGCTCGACAGTGGTGGAGTCTGATCCCGAGCCAGGGGGAAGGTGACCGTCAGCACGATCGAAAAGGAATGTCTTTAGGCGGGATTTGAAAGCGAGGAGGGAGGGGGCAAGGTGGAGGGATTGAGTTCCAGAGCTTCGGGGCATAGTGGCTGAAAGCATGGCCACCGATTGTGGAGTGGAGGGGGCTAGGGATGCACAGGAGGCTGGAGTCGGCCTAGATGAGGCAGCGGGTGGTGGGGGGTAAGTGAATCGGATATGTAGGGAGGTGCAAGAGCATGAAGGGATTTGAAAGCAATGTGGCAATGGAAGAAGATCGAATGGAAGAAGACAGCAGGCACCACAGAAACAGCATACCTTCCCGTTCTTAATATGGTATATTTAAATACACTAGTCACTTCTCCATGCAATCTGACCTTATTGTTTGTGATTCACTATTGGAATGGCTAACGCTGACCTGAAGTAGCTGATGGCATGCAGCCATACTTTTTAATAACCGAGATCTATCATTACACATGAATGTTTTGCAGCTTCCAAATCTAACAGACAGTTTTATTTGTTTGGGACTGGATTGCAAAGTCATCTGCTTCTGGTACCAGGAATTAGCAGCCACCTTCAGCATACCAGAGACATTTCACTGTACTCTCACAACAGCAACTCTAAATCTGGTTACTTCTTATTCCTTCATTTTTAATTTGTTCATTTACACCATATTTGGCTTATAAACGCATAAGCAAACATTCACATTAAAAAGAGGCCCTTTTATTTTTTAAAAAAATCTATTTTGTGTAATGTTTCCATACTGTAGCACAATTAATAACTATTAATTAGCTCTAATTTGGAAAAAAGTTCAATATGAATCACACTAATACACAGGAAGCAGCCATTAGACATCACACACCCTTGGATATTGTTGATACTCTCTAAGAGGCGCTCCTAAATTCTAAAGATTTAAGAGTTCAAACGAAATTCCACATCAATTCGAAGTGCTGCACAAATGCGGCTTTCAGATGCACTTGCAGCAAACCATCTTATTTGCTGCCTTAAATAAAACTCATGCGAACTGAACCGCACAGCAGTTGTTCAAATGGTTTCCAAAACAGATCAAAATATCCAAAATAGAAAACACAATTTGGTAACAGCCTGAGACAAGGACCCACACAGTCTGACTGACAGCCTGACTGGGGGTTGACTGACTGACTGAGCGTTGACGGACTGACTGGCTGGGGGTTGGCTGGATGGTGGGGTGGGTGGGGGCTGGCTGGATGGTGGGTGGGGTGGGTGGGGGCTGGCTGGATGGTGGGTGGGGTGGGTGGGGGCTGGCTGGATGGTGGGTGGGGTGGGTGGGGGCTTGGCTGGATGGTGGGTGGGGTGGGGGTTGGCTGATGGTGGGTGGGGTGGGGGGTTGGCTGATGGTGGGTGGGGTGGGGGTTGGCTGATGGTGGGTGGGGTGGGTGGTTGGCTGATGGTGGTGGGGTGGGGGTTGGCTGATGGTGGGTGGGGTGGGGGGTTGGCTGATGGTGGGTGGGGTGGGGGGGGTTGGCTGATGGTGGGTGGGGTGGGGGGTTGGCTGATGGTGGGTGGGGTGGGGGGTTGGCTGATGGTGGGTGGGGTGGGGTGGGGGGTTGGCTGATGGTGGGTGGGGTGGGGGGTTGGCTGATGGTGGGTGGGGTGGGGGGGGGTTGGCTGATGGTGGGTGGGGGGTGGGGGGTTGGCTGATGGTGGGTGGGGGGGGGTTGGCTGATGGTGGGTGGGGTGGGGTGGGGGGTTGGCTGATGGTGGGTGGCACAGAGTCATCAGAAAAACATTTATCAAGTACCATTTGGGAGGACGGATGTTACATTCCCCCCTGAGCTGTGAAGCCCCGCACACACGCCGAGCACAGCACAGCTCAGCTCAGCACAGCACAGCTCAGCTCAGCACAGCACAGCACAGCACAGCTCAGCACAGCACAGCACAGCTCAGCACAGCTCAGCACAGCACAGCACAGCTCAGCTCAGCTCAGCTCAGCACAGCTCAGCACAGCACAGCTCAGCACAGCGCCGGACAGGACCCGCTGACTCATGGAAACTCCGACCATGCAGTGTCCCCAACAGTGAAGCGCTTTAATTCGGGTCCCCCCGCAAACCCTGACAAGGTTGGCAATGCGGTGCTGTCCCGGGGCGGACCGGGGCCGGTCATACACCTCCCAGCTGTCGGGGGCGCATTTCGGTGCCGTGGGTTTTGGGAAGTGCTTCAAAGTGTTGGGAAGATCGCTCTCCCCCTCTCCCTCTCCCCCTCTCCCCCCCTCTCCCTCTCTCTCTGGCGGATCGATGACTCGCCGCGTGGGCGAAGGAGGATCAGATGCTTTCAGCCGAGACGTCAAGTGCAACACCAGCTGCAGCTTCCCAACGCTGTCCATCTCAGCCAAAGCCAAAGCCAAAGCCAAAGCCCCCATCAAAAATAAACACGAGGCGCACCCGCGTCCTCTGTGTCCCTCTCCCGCTCGACGGTGCAGAGGGAACGAGACCGTCCGCACGTCCTTCTTTACCTCCGGCCACACCGCACCCTGATCCTGCAGGACATTACCCCGCGGTGGGCAGTGAGAGCGGGTGTGTGTGTGGTGTGTGTGTGTGTGTGTGGGCGCTATGTCCAGAGCTGTGCCACATGTGCACAGTGTCAAAACAATACTCAAACTGCTGGGGACACGTATTACAAACCATTTGAGTAACCCCCCCCCTCCCTCCCCACCACACCACCACACCTCCCACACCTCCCTAATGGTTTGCAATGTAAAGCAGAGGTGCGGTGACCTCCCAGCACAGGCTCCCCTCCAGCCAGTGCAGTGCACAGTGCAGTAGTCACATCTGGAGACCATCACCAGGTCAGGGACATCCCGAGTTACACACAGCAACAGTCCAATCTCTCGCGTTCCCTCCTCGCTGCGAAATTCAACAGCGAGCGGATGAGTCGGTGGAGGTTTTGCTCATTGCTCATTGCAATACTTTTGCCACACACACCCCTCGACCCGAGTGCTCCATCAGCTGAGCAGAGCGCCATGACCGAGGTTTAAAAAAAACCACCCACCGGGAATGACAGCGACTCCAACCCGTTCAAACCGGAGCACCGGAGGGATTCATTCAACTTCCACACCTGAAGCGTTTTCACACACACACACACACACACACACACACGTTAACTTTACTTCTCTCGCTCAGCCTCTGTCCAACCCACACACGGCTTTTTTTTAAAGAAAAAATGCACACACCCAAGACTTTGCGGTGCAGGACTTTCGGATGTTTGTAAAAGTTTAAAAACTTTCACTGTTGCGATAACTTTGCTTTCTGCGCGAGACGTCCCCCGGGCCGGGCCGGGCCGGGCAGGAGCTGAGCCGAGCCGAGCCGAGCTGTGCTGTGCTGAGCCGAGCAGAGCTCACACATAAACAAACCTGTCCCAGTCACAGCTGTGAGGCGCAGCTTTAGCTGAGTTACAGCGAAGTTTGCTGAGTTATATCAAGTGAGGAGCTGGGGCTGGGGGGGGGGGGGGGGGGCTGGTGGGGGCTGGTGGCTGTGGGTGGTTGGTGGGGGGTGGTTGGGGGTTTGGTGGGTGGTGGGGGGGCTGGGGTTTGAGGGTTGGGGGGTGGGGGTGGTTGGTGGGGGGGCTGGGGGGGGTTGGTGGGGGGGGGTTGGTGGGGGGGGGTTGGTGGGGGGGGTGGGGGGGGGTGGTGGGGGGGGGGGTGGTTGGTGGGGGGGGGGGGGGTGGGGGTTGGTGGGTGGTGGGGGGCTGGTGGGGGGGTGGGGGGGGTGGGGGGGGGTGGGGGGGGGGGTGGTGGGGGGGTGGGGGGTGGTGGGGGTTGGGGTGGGGTTTGAGGGGGGGGTGGGGGGGTTGGTGGGGGGGTGGGGGGGTGGGGGGGGGTTGGTGGGGGGGGTGGGGGGGTGGGTGGGGGGGGGGGGGTGGGGGGGGGTGGGGGGTTGGTGGGGGGTGGGGTGGTTGGGGGGTTTGAGGGTTGTGGGGTTGGTGGGGGGGTGGGGGGTGTGGGGGTGGTGGGGGGGTGGGGGTGGTTGGGGGTTGAGGGTTGTGGGGTTGGTGGGGGGGTGGGGGGGTTGGTGGGGGGGATTGGTGGGGGGGCTGGGGGTTGGTGGGTTGGTGGGGGGGCTGGTGGGGGGGTTGGTGGGGGGCTGGTGGGGGTGGGGGTGGGGGTGTGGGGGGTGGTGGGGGGTTGGGGGTTTGAGGGTTGTGGGGTTGGTGGGGGGGTTCTCACCGCTCTGGGCTGTACGTACCTGCGCCAGGTCGTCAACATGACTGTCCGGCAGCATCCTGACTGCGGGACTCTTCACGTCCTCAAACATCACCGCCCGCTCGTCCGAGTGCAGCCTCACGGGCTTGAGTTGGGTGAAGACCGGCTGCTCGGGGCCGCCTCTGCCCGCGGCCAAAGTGCACCTCAGGCCGCTGCTGGCCATCTGCTCGGGGGTGGCGGCTGCAGTGGTATTGTCGCTGTGTGAAGCCCTTCTGCCCTCCGGACAGGGACGGGAGCACGAGGTGCTGGACGCCCACCGGCTGCTGGTGCGGCGCTAATGCCGAGCAACTCACTCACAGTCCCCGACTTTGAGACACCAGCGCCCGGGGCGGTGCGACGGACAGGCGGACCGGCCAATCACGAGCCGGGCCCACGCTGACCGACGTCCCACGCAGCCAATGGGATCGTGAGAGCGGGAGCGGGGCGGGGACTAAGTTGCTGGGCTGCACGGATTGGTGGCGGTGTCGCGCAGGGCGGGTCGACCTGTTGTTGGGCTCTGCACTGTGTTGTGTACCTGCACTCCAGGTACAGTCTGTGGGAGGGGAAGTCACCACATAATGCACAGCAGGTGAATAATTTTTCTGACAGAGAAGGGTCGGGTTCTCTTTTAGGTGCTGATACACTTGCCGTGTATTTATTGCCCTAAATAAATAAATAAATAAATAAGGGCGAAACCTTGGGCAAGTTTCCTTACTCCACACAGAGCCTAATAATAATCCCTCCAAAACCAATAATAAATTGGTCATCTTCAATCCACGACTGTTTGTGGGACATTGCTGTGCGCAATTGGCCGCCGCGTTCGCCCACAAATATACAGTCAATTCACTTTACAGTGTGTTCTGTGAAGCGCTTTGGGAGGTCCTCCCGACGTGAAAAGCGCTATATCAAATGCAAGGATTATTATTATTATTATTCTGTGTTTGTTTGTTTGCTTGTTTGTTTATTTAAGGCAGGTTAACTTTTGAGGTGTACCTACCCCTTCACCAAAACCCAGGAACAATTGCTAATCAATTACTATGCAACTCTGTGGCAATTTTGGAAGATATCTATATATATCATTACGCATAACAATATTACATTCAAGTGAAATGCGAAAAAAAAGGTTTACTGGAAGAAATCTCCTAAGGATTCGTCCTTGATTTTGACACGGTGCCTTATTGTGTCATCAAGACGTCTCAAAGCACTTCACACGATATTCTGGAGAGGGGTTTGACTGCATTTTTTTGTGGGCAAATAGCAGCAACCAGCTTGCGCGCAGCTATGTCCCACAAACAGCTATCGAATGAGTGATCAATTTCATTTGGGGGGGTTGTTGTCCAGGACACCGGGAGAAACTCCCTTCTCTTTTTAAATTGTGCCATGGGATCTTTAAAGTACACCTGAACAGTCAGACAAACAGTTTAATGGCTCGATTACGGGAACTCCCTCCTCATCGGCCTTCCCAACTCTTCTCTTCACAAGCTGCAGATCATCCAAAACTCTGCAGCTCGTGTACTCTCACGCACAGGCTCCATGACCCCATTACTCCCACCCTCACCCGACTCCACTGGCTCCCCATCCCCCAGAGGATCGAGTTCAAGATCCACGTCCTCACCTTTAAGGCCATCCATAGCCTTGCCCCCTCCTGTCTCTCTGACTTGCTGACTCCCTACCAACCTGCCCGCTCCCTCCGTTCATCGGGCTCCGGCCTGCTCCATGTCTCCCGCCCGATCCGACCTACCATCGGCAGCCGGGCTTTCAGCCTCTCTGCCCCCACACTCTGGAACTCCATCCCACGGTCCCTTCGCCTCGCTTCCTCCCTTGCCTCCTCCAAGGCCGCTCTCAAGACCCTTCTCTTTTGTCACCCTCCCAGCTTTCTGCCTTCCCTCATCCCTTCTCCACCTCTCCCCCATGCTCGGGCCCCATCACCTAACTATTCAGCACTTTGGGACGTCCTTCCGATGTGAAAGGCACTCTATAAATGTAATTTTGTTGTTGTTGTTGTCTCATTTGAATGACAGTACTTCCCAGCATTGCATTGAAGTGTCAGTTTAGACTACGTGATTCTAAGTCCTGACGTGGAGCTTGAATCCACAACCTTCTGACTCAGAGGCAAGTGTGCTATTACTGAGCCAAGCTGATACATGCTGCTTGTATTGCAGTGCAAAGTTTGGCTTCTTGAGTTATGTTATCTTGGGGGCAGAAGGAAAACAAAAGTTCCTACATAATAAATCAATGGCGTTTCATTAGGTGAGGTAAGTGGTAACTTCTCGCATTCTAGGTTTATAAACAGGTTAGGCCTTTGTAATATATTGTGTGTAGGGTGAACCATGTTACAATATATCAATGCATCAAACTTGATGTAGTAAACTGTCTGAGCTTAATCAAAGATCTCGCAGTGAGTACTGGTCTGTGTGAGCTGAGACCAACGGGCTGACCAAGATCGCAGGAAATGTGGGGCCAGTGGAACCCGTGAACGAGTGGGGCTGGGCGAGAATGAGCGGGGCTGGGGGAGAACGCGAGGGTCTGGGTAGGAACGAGCGGGGCTGGGGGACAACCAGCGGGCCTGGGTGACAGCAGGAAAGTGTGACTGGAGATTAAAGACATTGCGCACACACAAAGGGCCTGTTGCTATCTGAACAAGGCAGCTTGATGGGGCTAACTCATAAATTATCTCACCTGTCAAAAAGGTCACCAGCCACCACGGTTATCAATTAACACAGGGTGGAGTGTGTTTAAAGGACAACAATCCCAAGATTTACTGAACTTTGATAAAGCTCAGACAGTTTACCACATCAAGTTTGATGCATTGATATATTGTAACATAGTTCATCTTACACACAATATACTACAAAGACCTAACATGTTTATAAACCTAGAATGCGAGAAGTTACCAAACAGGAGAATCAGAGAGCAGGTTCTCAGAAATAGTAACCAAATTAAATTGAAATGGCATTATAGTAGTTGATTTATCCTGCATGTCCCCAGCAATTGCTGTGCAGAAATATTAATATTAATTTGTTTATACTGTTTTAATAATTTTTGATAATTTCAAATTACATTTTAAAATAAAGGATCCTACATGTACTGTAGCTGGAAGGGGTTAGAGAGTGATGGAGATGCACCAACATGTTCTTAGCTTTCTTTTTTAGTTTTGATACACAGGTATCTAAACTATAGTAAATAATACAGGTACTTCTAACATCTCTTAGAGAACAATATATATGCAGTACCTTCACTTCCCACCATTAGATATCATCTCTTACAATGAAAGATGAAAGAAGTTCAGTCGTAGGAAGATAAATTGTAACATTAGAATAATACAGCAAGTTTCTGTAATCCAACAGGTGTAACTTTTTCAACAAATGTGTAAGATCCATTACCAGCCCTCAAGACTTACAGGATTGGCTTTCATGTGGATGAAGAAAAATCTCAGTAACAACAACAACAACAACAAGATTCCATTTATAAAGCGCCTTTCACGTCAGGAGGACGTCCCAAGGCGCTGCACAGTTGGGTCATGACCCAAGCAGGGGGGAAATGGTCAGGGTGAGGGGAGGGAAGGGAGGGAGCGAGGAGTGGGGAAATGGTCAGGGTGAGGGGAGGGATGCGAGGGAGCGAGGAGGGGGAAGAGAGTCGAGAGGGGAGCTGAAGGCTCGGTCAAAGAGAAAGGTTTTGAGACCGGCCTTGAAGGAGGAAAGGGAGGAGGCGGCGAAGGCACTGGGGGATAGAGTTCCAGAGCCTAGGGGCTGAGAGGCTGAAGGCCCGGCCACCGATGGTAGGGCGGTTAGGGCGGGGGACGTGGAGCAGACCGGAGCCAGAGGAACGGAGGGTACGGGCAGGTAGGTAGGGGGATAGTAGGTTGGAGAGGTAGGAGGGAGCAAGGCCGTGAATGGCCTTGTAGGTGAGGATGAGGATCTTGAATTCGATCCTCTGGGGGATGGGGAGCCAGTGGAGGTGAGCGAGGGTGGGAGTGATGTGGTCCCGAAGCCTGGTGCGGGACAGTACATGAGCTGCAGAGTTCTGAATGACCTGCAGCTTGTGGAGGGAGATGCCGGGAAGGCCGGCGAGGAGAGAGTTCCCATAATCCAGCCTTGAGGTGATAAAGGCGTGAACCAGGGTTTCAGCAGCGTGAGGGGTGAGGTAATGCCGTAGTCTGGCGATGTTCCGGAGGTGATGGAAGGCGGTGCCAGTTGTGGTGCGGATGTGAGGGAGAAAGGACAGCTCAGGGTCGAACAAAACGCCGAGGTTCCTGACTGGGTTTGAGAGGTTTGTCAGTGGTGATACGTTGTTCTGTATTTAACTTATGGGTGAATTATGTTAGCTTCTTAAAAACTGCTCCTTCCGGGTCAACAATTTAAATACCTGGATTATTACATACCTAAAATATTTCAGTTGGATTTATGCACATTCACAGCTTACCTATTAAACATGTCACAGATATTCAAGAATCTGTCTGTAAGCACGTACTTACCTTGGCCCCAGGGCTGGTTTACAATGGATGACATGCGAGGATAAACAGATTGATGCCCTAAATATTCATGACCAACTTCAATTAAATTAAGCTAAAATATACCCAACATAGCAAAGATTTCAAGAGGGATTTGTGATCAATTTATCACAGATAGAATAAAACCTTTTAAATGGTTCTCAGAACCATAATCCTAAAACAAACAGCAAGGTAGCCCATGATGGTTAATATAATTAATTATTGCATTATATCTATACATTTGTACATCTATCTTTGCATTCATATCAGCAAAAAATACTTCATTGGAACTTTTTTCCACTTATTATGAACAATCTTTAACTATAAGTCAACTTTTTATCATTTCTAACATTTATTTTTCTTACATAAATTAAAATGAGAAAATTTAAATTCATTCAAGAACTATACATTAAAGGACTGCACTTTATATTCAACATGCATTATCTAGAATGGGTGTCAGTTGGCATCAGCACTCTTACCTTTCAGTCAGAAGCTTGTGGGCTCATGCCCCACATCAGGACTTCACAACTCATAGTCTAGGCTGAAGTTAAAGATCCCAAAGCACTACCTGATTGAAAAGAGAAGCAAGTTTCTCCTTGTGTCCTGGCCAACAATCCCCCATTTCATATTGGTAATTCACATCATGGTTGTTTGTGAGGCAACATTAGAAA